CTCCGTGCCAGCGTCCGATCTGCCTGCAGCTCGCGCGCCGGGTCGTCCGTTTCAGCTTTTCGACGCGGGCTAGTCGCCCTGAGTTCTCGCCCGGGCCGCTCCTGGCTCGCCCCATCGGCTTGCCCCTCGAGCTTTCCGACTGAGACCTTTCTCCGCGACCGCGCCCGCGGCCTCGGCCGCGCCCGCCGCCTTTGCCGTGGAACTTCAGCTTGTGCTGCATTGGCCGCGAAGATCTCGAGCGCCTCGTCGCACGTGTGGTCGATCCCCTCGAGCGTCGCCTCGTCCTCGCCAAGGTGGGCCGCCTCGTAGTCGCTTCCCGCAGGTAACTGGGCGCCCTGGCCAGTGGAGGCTGCGCCGTCATCCTCGCACACGCACTCTCCATCTTCGTCAATGCCAGCCTGCCACGCGGACTCGTGCAGCTGACGTCCGTGGCGATGCCGCCGTTGGCCGGGCCGATGGGGTCGAGGTTCTGGCTTCTGGTCATTCTTGCCCTTCCACTCTCGCTCGTGGATGTTGGGGTGCTGCGTGCGAAGAGCCTTGCCGGAGGCCTCCTTGTCATGCATGTTCCCAGCGCTGCTGAGGATGCTTGCGTGGTCGGACTTCCCCAGCCCTGAGAACTTAAGGAGAAGGTGGGCCTGCGCATCATTGCTGATGCTCGTCTCCTCGCTGATTTGCTTGAGATCGTCGACTGCCTTCGAGCGCCTGGCAATGCACTCCTGAATGCTGTCGCCGGCGACCTCCAGACTCACCTGGGGTCGTGAGCACAAGCTCCATCCTTCGGTGGTGGCCCTCTTCTCCTCGAGCTGGCGCCACCCTTGCCACCGCTCTCGATCGTCTCGACCTCGAACGCGAACAGCTGCTGGTGCGAGTGCGATCGGACAGCGTCGTAAGCCGTGCCAGAGAGTCCGTTCCTGAGGTTGATTGGCGTCGCTATGTGCTTTTCGTCACCCACGCGTCCATAGAGCGCGTTTCGAGCCTTCTCTTGATTCTCTTCAAAGAGCGCAATATCTCCGTCGTAGAACGGGAATTCCACCTCGAACTCCAGCTTCGATACCCTTTGACATGGCTGCTGCACGCGGACGCGGCTCGAGGCCGCTGCCGTTGGATAGAGTAGGAACCGCAATGATGCTGCTGCACACCGCGTGGAAGCACGCAACTGCCGGAATGATGCCACACTCAAGTCGGGCCTGTCCCCCTACAGAGGGAGTTTGGGCGATTTATATATATATATATATATGTATACATATATATATATACACACACCTAAAAAGACCCCAAATGGCCAACAATTGTCAAAACATTGTCCCCTGATTATTTTGGACTATTTTTGAATATCCCCCCTGTAGAAGGACACGCCCGACTTAATGCCAGACGCCGCCCAAATAATCCGGCTTGTGCGGGCTCGCCAACCCCCTGCGCTGCCGGCCCGTTCCCTGCAGGCCGGCGCGCACCCCCCACCGCGGGGCGCGCCGCGCAGACCTCCGCGCGCTCGCTGCGGAGGCGGGAGCCGGCCGGGGCGACTCGGCCAGCTCCGCTACAGTCAACCCGCAGAGTAAGGATGCGCGATAAGGATGCAAGGGCCTTGGACGCCCATTGCGAAGCTTTTCGAGCGGGCCGCGGCCCACGAAAGCGGCCAAGGATGGGCCGAGAAGGCGAGGATGCAAGGGTACCCTTGGGAAGGTTACCCATCCTTACTATGCGGGCTGACTGTACCATCAACTGGCGGGCAACCGCCCGCTGGAAGCTCTCCGCTTTTTCTGCAACCGTGAACTCAAGAGCTCTGTGAGCCGACACCTCATGTCTGAGCGGGTGGGAGCGGGCAGCGGCACGGGCAGGCTGAATGAAGGGATGATCGCTGGGGCACGTCAGGATACACCCTGCGAAATGCTTTAGAAATCATGGGTTCAGAAATTCATAGTCTCAGAACTTGCATAAAAAAACAACGTTTCTATTAAAATCTTAAGATTTACATTGAAACGTTAAGAATAATCGAGACTCTGGCCGAAAACTTCGCCCAAGGTGTATGCCTGGTATAGCTGTCCGATGACCCGCCTCGGATATAACAAAGTGCGGGCCCCATACGGGCGGGGCTCCCGCTCGAATCTTTGTTCGCTCCTCCCTTACAGGCGAGGCCCCCGCTCGAGACACCCTCACGATTTGCCGTTTTAGGGTGTTCAAGTGTAATGCCCAGCACAATTGTCCGACGGCCGCTCCGGATTAGTAACATGAGATGCGGACCCCATACGGACGAGGCTCCCGCTCGAAGCTGCCTTATCATTCACTCACAGACGAAGCCCCACTTCGAGACATCCTCATGATTTGACCCCTCGGGGTGCTCAAGTGCTATGCTGAGTGGAATTTTCCGATGGCCGCCTCGGATTAATAACATCATTTTCGGACCCCATACGGAGGGGGCTCCAGCTCGAGACATCCTCGCGATTCACACACAGACGAGGCTCCCGCCTGAGACATCCTCACGATTTGCCCCCTTGAGGTGCTCAAATGCGATGCCTGGTACATTTGTCCGATGACCCGCTTGGGTTGGTAACATGATCTATGGGCCCAATGGGGAGGGGGCTCGCGCTCTGGTGATGATGGTGGTATGATGATGATGATGACGATGATGGTGGTATGGTGATGGTGATGCTGATGATGCTGATGATGGTGGTGGTGATGGCGACTGTGAAAACATGGCATGGGTATGATGATGACCGATGACCATGGTGAGATGGTAATGGTGGTGATGGTGTAATGGTTATGGCGAATGCGAACGGAGGAGGGGAAGAGAGGGTGAGGTGTTCTTTCCTGCGTGGTGGTGTCCGGAGGAAACAATACCCCCACATAGATGTGGGAAAACACAAACTACGGCAAACATGCTCGAGCGACGCCGCTATCTGCTTTGGATTCGGGGCCATGTCACTGACCGGTTCCCCTTTTTCGGGGCCCTAGCTCCGATTCTGGTTGGAGCCGGGCCTCCACGACTACACCCTGCGAGAGCCAGCAGCTGAGACAGGGGGGCTGGGCCGCTCGAGGGCGAGGAGGGGGGGGGAGAGACCACATCTGGAGGGGGGGGAGAGACAGGTCCAACATATCTGGAGAAGGAGGAGGAGGAGGAGGAGGAGGAAAGACATCTGGGGAGGAGAGAGAGACATCTGGAGGAGGAGGAGGAGGAGGAGGAGGAGGAGGAGGAGCGCCCCGCATCTGGAGGGGGGGGGAGAGACAGGTCCAACGTCTCCAGCATCCCGACCTCCCCTGGGCGCACCTTGGCAGCTGGCCCGCGCGCCGCGAGGAGGAGGAGGAGGAGGAGGAGGAGAGGGAGGAGGAGAGGAGGGAGGAGGAGGAGGAGGAGGAGGAGGAGGAGGAGGAAGGAGGAGGAGGAGGAGGAGGAGGAGGAGGAGGAGGATAGGGAGAAAAAGGAGGAGGAGGAGGAGGAGGAGGAGGGCGGAGGAGGAGGAGGAGGAGGAGGAGGAGGAGGAGGAGGGCGGAGGAGCAGGAGGAGGCGGAAGCGGAGGGGGAGGGGGAGGATACAGGCTGACTCTCTCCTCTGGGGCCTAGGCCGCTGGAGGGCGACAACCAGGCAAGGCACGATTCTGTTGGTCCGCAGCGGGCGCGGAGGCCAACGCGCTCGGAAAGCCCGCGGGCCGCGCCGAACGGGGGCACACGCAGGCTGCCAAGGAAGGAGGAGGGCGACCGCGGAGGAGGAACGCGGGAGGAGGCCTCAAACGTAGAGAATCTTCGCCGCGAGGAATGCTCAGGCGTCTCGACTTCTTGGGATGCGGGGTGTCCCTCGAGGTCCCGACCCTCTCCCAGGGGCCAGCTTCTCGTCCCGAGTGGCTCTCTGGCGGCCCTGGGGCCAGGACAGGGCCCCCGAGGACCAGAAACGACGAAGAACCTCCGTCCTGCTTCCTGGGGAGGGTGGAGCATCCGGGGCGTTCAAAAGGGGGGCGTCCAGGGGGGGTGAGGTCGCAAGTCATGGCCCGAGGCACGTGCGCGGCCCAGGGGTGGGTGGGTGGGACAGGGGACGTGCTGAGTTAGTCGGCGGCGAGCGAGGGGGGCAAACGAGAAGGAGAAGGCCTTCTCAGAAGGCGGCGGGACTTGTCGAAAGCCCTCGCACCTTCTGAGAAGTTTTTCTGTCTTCGGGGGAAGCTTAACAAACTTCTCAGAGGGTCGGGGGACTTCCGAACCTTCTGAGAAGGCCTTCTTCTTCTTCTTCTTCTCACTTCCCGCCCTCGCTCGCCGCCGAGATAAGAGCAGGCGCTACGAGATCTGGGGAAGCAACATGGCCCCTCAACAGGATGCCCACCCCTCCCCCCCAGTCGTAGCACCCCCGTTTTGGCCGCCCCCGAGAGCAGAGGTGGGCGGCGAGCGAAGAGGGAGAGTGAGAAGGAGAAGGCCCTCTCAGAAGGCGGCGGGGCTTCTCAGAAACCCTCCGCCTTGTGACCAGAGTCGACTCGACAAGTCGGGTCGGCGATCGGAATGACTCGGATCGGCGGAAATCGGCAGCCGAGTCGCGAAAAGTCGAATCGGCAGACATCGGCAGGTTAGCAGGCCTCCATTGAGAAATCGGATCGAAATCCGAAGTCGAATCGAATCGGAATCCCATCGAAATCGAATCGAGCCGAATCGGAGGAGTCGAAATGAGCCATGGTCTTCAGCGGAGGCCTCGAACACGCCTCGGATCAGGGGGCGCCCGAGCCTTCTGAGAAGGCTCGCCCCCTCACAGTTCCCCCCAGGCGCGAAGCCAAAGAAGGGCGCTGCCCTTTGAGCAGGGACCGACCTTCCCAGCATTCCTATAGGCCTACCATGACATGTTCTTAGAACCAGTAGATGTTCGAATAACAAAATCGATGTTCTTAGAACATAAACCCCACGTGCTAAAACGAGACAGTCCCAGCCAGAAATGCTCCAAGAACATCTCGTGGAAACCACAGAAAGCTTCCTAGAACCTTGCTTGGCAGGCCTATTGGGCACGCCACGGGCGCTTCGTCCCCGCTCGACTCCTTGAGACGAAGAACGCCCCGTCCATCCGCCCGATGTTCGACATCGCGCCCGGCGCCGAGCGGGGCTCCCGCGCGGGCGCTGGCCCCCGGCGGGCTCCCGCGGCGCCCTCGGGCGGCCGTGCAGGGGCGCCCCCGGGGCCGCTGGGCCACGGCGGCTGCGGCGGCGGGTCGCGGCGGCAGGGCGTCGGAGGAAAGAGGACACCGCTCCACTTGCTCCTCCCTCTCTCTCTCTCTCTCTCTCTTTCTCTCTCCCCTGCGATGGAGGCTGCCCTCTGCTCGCCCTGTTCCTCTTTCTCCTCCTCCTCCTCCTCCTCCTAGCCACTTCCAGGTCTCATTCTGGAGAAACGACCTTCCGCACCGCGCACTTGGACGTGGCGCAGCGGTGTGGAGCCTTCCAGCAGCCTTCCTTGGCGGGCAGAGCAGGCCATGGCCAATCTCATGTCAAGATGTGGAGCTGCCGTGGCCAGCGTGGGGGGGGAGGAGGGAGGAGGGAGGAGGGAGGAGGGAGGGGGGAGGAGGGAGGAGGGAGGAGGGAGGAGGGAGGAGGGAGGAGGGAAGGGGGAGGAGGGAGGAGAGAGGAGGGAGGAGGGAGGAGGGAGGAGGGAGTGCGTGCCCGCAGCGCGGAGCGTCCGCCCCCCCCGAGCACGTGCTCCATCAGCAGAGCTCGGTCCCCCAAAAAGTGCCCGTGATCGGAAGCCTCCGGCGGGCGTTTGGAAGCAAGGGCCACCGACGTTGTCGCGAGGAGAGGGGTTAGGATGACTACCTACCAGACCACACCAACCCAACCCGAAGACCCGAATTTCGGGTTGGGGGGGGTATGGGCTCCATACGTGTTTTTTCGATGTTCCCCGACCCCCCCCCCCCACTGGAAATGGAGGGCAAATTGAGGCCTTCGGGTTGGGTTGGGGTGGTTTGGTAGGTGGTGATTGTCGCGAGGAGGGGGTTAGGAAGGCACCAACTATACACCAACACCGATCCTGGCCCAGGATCGCCCTGGGCCCAGGATCGGTGTATACGCCCTCCTGCCTTGCGCAAGAAGGCATATACACCGATCCTGGGCCCAGGGTGATCCTGGGCCAGGATCGGCGTTGGTGTATAGTTGGTGCCCTCCGAGGGGTGCGCGAGGCGAGTCGGCTCCAGGAGGTGGACCCGGCAAGCGCGTGCCCCGGCCTCCATCGATGACTTCTCCCACGACCAAATCCTCCGGCTCTGGGCCAAGCGAGGCTTGGGGCAGGAAGGCAAAGCTCAAGTTCTCGAAGATGTTCGGCCTTCTCTTGCGGCGGCGCAAGCAGCTGCAGATGGACCAGCCGACCTCTCCAAGAAGGGCCTCCAGGACCTGCTCCAACGGCAGGTGTGGAAGCGCAACCAAGTCGAAGCCAGTGTACAGCGCCTTGCAGAAGCCGCCAAGGCTCTCAGCAAGGCCCGCAAGACTCACGATGCGGAATTTGAGCAGCTCGAGCGGCATCGTGCCACTCTCGCTGACATTGGCAAGCATGTCAAAGAAGCCCAGTCCAAGACCGTCCTCCCTGACATCGGTGACAAGGAGATCGAAGGTTGCGCCAGCTATGGAGCTGGAGTTCTTGGCAGTCTTCCAGAAGGTGCTCGGGTCTGGGGCCAAGCGTTACGGCTTCAATGTCGACGCCACCCTTGCAGCAGCCGTCGCCGAGTCGGAAGAGGTCGAAGCGAAGATCCCTGCAGCGGCACCGCCACCTTCAGCGCCTCAGGCTCCTGCTGCTGGGACCGCTCCTGGTGCTGGCGCTCCTGGGCAGCCTGCTGGCGGTGGAGCTGCGGCCTCTCAGGTGGTCTGGGACGCTGAGGGCCCCGAGTTGGTTGAGCACCTCCGGCAGAATGGTATCACTGGAGACTCGGCCACGCTCAAAAGGTTCCTGGACGGCTTGGCCTCTCGTGCCAAGAAGCCGAAGCTTTGACGTGCAGGAAGCGGCTGAGTCATTTTCACTCTGGTCCACCAGTGTGAATTCTTGGGCGTCGGCCCAAAGTCTTCTGGAGTGGATCAAGCACGACTCGGAACAAGAAGTGCCAGATAGTCTATGCTTGCAGGAGCATCGGCTCAAGCAACAAGATAAGCTACGAGCAGCCAAGAAGTGGAGTCGCGACCGCGGCTTTCATCATGCATTCCACCCGGCAGCATCCACAGGCATAGGGGTCACCGAGAGCAGCGGTGGGTGCGCAGTTCTGTCGAGAACAACGGCATCCCCACACGCGCTGCCTCCTGACAGCGCGTTTCCCTCTCATCGGATATCTGTTATGTGTGTCAACATCGGTCTGACAGTCCCACTGTATGTTTGTTCTGTCTACCTCACCACTAGCATTGGCTTCGCCGGCGTTAATCTGGATCATTCAGCGGCCTTGATGGCCCACCTTGGGGCCATGCCGAGGCCCGTGGATTGCAATTGGTGACTGGAATTTGCTCCCGTCTGACCTCGTGACCTGGGCAAAGCACGCACAAGGGAGGCTGCTCCGCAGCCAGTTGCCCGCATTCGGTGATCGAGAGATTGACTTTGGCATCTGTTCGAAGGCTTTGGCAGGATTCGTTTCGGATGTTCAAGCGGTGTTAGGCTCTGCTGTTCGTGGGCACACTCCTCTCAAGGTAGTTGTCAATGGTCTCCATCGGAATGCTACTGTCATGCGTCCCGTGCACCCCAAGAAGTTCCCCATCACCAAGCCCCCTCCTCTTCGACCTGCGCCGGCGGATGTGCGTCGTGATCAGTGGTTCTGTAACGTGGGCAACGAGCTTCCTGCCTCGCTTCAGGAGGCCTGCGAGTGTTGGCTTGCTCATGTTGAATCGTATTTGATTAAGTTTCACGACATACCGTCTTGGCGACAGTCCCGCTGGTCTGAGCGAGGCAAGGGCCTCGAAGTAGAGAGCGTCCCTTTCGAGACTGCCTGGCAGCAGGACATGCGCCAAGGCCCCTCGCTCAAGTACCGCCAGTGGGCCTCGTTCTACTCTGCATTCACGCGTCTCCGCACCATCGGGCTCAGCATGCAGAAGCGCAATATCAGTAGTTCAGCAGCGTTAAACAAGCAGGCCAAGACCTGCCGTCGCATCTCTGTTGAATGGCCGGCGGACGGCCCCCTGTGTGTCTTGGCTTCGAAGCCAGTGGGTGATCTCATTGCGCTCGCTAAGGGTGGCGGCCAGGTGGCGTTGGACCTTCTGGAGGGGGTGCGGGACCGTGTCATCAACCTCCAGGCCGCGGACCGAGAGGTACGCAGCTCGGCCTGGCGGGCTTGGGCCAAGTGCGCTGCTGGCGAGCACGGTGGTAGAGCCGCTTATCAGTTTGTTCGTGAACCAACCCCTGTCATGCAGATTTTCGCTCCAGAGGATGCGGATCATCCGGCTATGCCAGCGGTTGGCCAAGGGTCAGTGGACCTCCTCTTGCAGCAGTAGGGGCCGTTGTGGAACAATCCGCTGCGCGACGGGGAGCATCATCCGAGAGATTGGGGGCCGGATTTGGCCGCGCTTCTGTCGGGCCCTGATCCCTCGTTTGGCTCTGTGCCCAATCCTGGTCTCAGCAATTATGGTCTCCCTTTTCCTCGTCCTCCTCCTCCTCCTCTTTCTCCTCCCCGCATCGGTGGCCTCCGCTGGAGAATCGGAGGCGTTTTTCCTGAGAACACGTCCGAATTGCCCAGCCCTGCTATGTTCGGTTCTTCAGGAATTCTGGATCCCTGGGAGCCGCTGCCGGGAGTCGCCATTGTCTAGACAGGGCGCTGTCGTCCTATCCCGCCAATGCGGGGATAGGATGGGACAGACTCCATCCTCGGCAGCTTCTGCGGCTTCCCACTCGCTTTCGTTGACCTCCTGCTCAAGTGGGAGGGGGACCCCGAAGCTCTGGACCTCTGGCTCCTGCTTGCACGTTTCATTGGCAAGCCTGCCCTTCCCGGTGGGATTCGCCCCATCGTGCTCGCATCCATTTGGGGGCGGGTCTGTTCCCGTCTCAGGCAACCAGTCGCCAGGAGGTGGGAACTCTCGCTTGATAGTGATGCGTTTTGGGGATCTCCTGGCCGTACTTGCGATCGCGCAGGCCACGCACGCAATACAATCCAGAGATTTGTTCGTCTGAAGGGTTTTGTGGTTCTTCGTGGTTTGTTGGACCTGTCGAAGTATTACGGACATATTTGTCACGAGGATATGTGTCAAAAAAGCTCTGGCGACCGGATTTCCCACTGCTTCATTGAAATGCTTGTGTTCTACTTACCGCCTCCCGCGTCGCGCTGTTTGGGAAACGATTGCGCCCAAACCCATTGTAGCCCATGGGACCCTCGCTGCTGGACGTAATAATGCTCTAGCATTGGCCAAGTTGTTAATTCACACGTTTCTTTGATAAGCTGCAGGAACACTACCCGCAGGTCTGGTTTCAAAATCCGCCGCCCCTTGTGGGTCTCTACGCGTGCGAAATTCTTCCCCCCATAATCCCCCCCCAGGGGCCCCAAACCGGCAATTCGACCCCCCCCCCCGGGCCCGGCCGGACCCTGGACCGAACGCGCCGCAGGGCTCCAAAATTCGCAAAAAACGCGCCAGGAAGGTCTCAAAACGCTCCCCGGACGGCCCCCGAGACCACGATTCGCCGACATAGCGCCCCCAGGCGCCCACGATGGCCTCCAGGCCCCCAAAAAGGCCCCTAAGATGCGCTCCGAGAGGGTCGCAAGAAACAGAAATCTGCCCATTTCTTTCGAAAACCACGCATTTCTCCGCGCGCTCGCCTACTCGGCAATCACACCGTCCACGACAAGCGAAGAAACCTTCAACATCGCTCCCAGACGGCCAAAGGGGCCCCAAAGCAAGGTCGCTGAGGGTCCAACAACAGCCCACGAAGCCGCCAAGACAGCCCAAGAGGGCCCCCAGACGGCTCCAACACGGAGTCCACAGGGCACCATTTCGAGCCTTCGGCTCCAAGACGCTCCCAGCCTGCTCCAAGAACAACCCAAAAGGGCCTGCGGGACCTCCCAGAAAACCTCCGACGCCTCCAAGAATCCACGAGGAAGTCCCCAAGAGGCCCCAAAACTACCTGCAAGACGACCCGTTCAGGCCTCGCACGAGATCTTCTTCACCATCCGCGTGGCCGCCTACCTGTATACCGCGCAAAGTGGCGGAACGCGCCGCGTCCCATTCGACAACGACTCGTCCAATTCTTGGACCGCCGCATGCCGTCTATGGGCGCGGGTGTGACAAGCATTTTCCCCAAATCGTCACTCTTCCTCCTTCTCCTCCTCCTCCGATGACCCTCCTCCGTCTCTCCCCCCTCCCCCCCCCTCCTCCTCCTCCTCCGCTTTCTCCTATTTGGTGCCATGTCACCATCTCCGCGTCTCATCATCAACACCATCACCACCAGCATCATCATCGCCATCACCCGCACCATGACCACCGCCATCACCATCACCACCACCACGGACATCACCATCACCACCGCCACGGATCACTGCCTTGTCGCGTGTCTGGACACATGCGATGCAACCCGCATCCGCCAACCCCATTCGGGGCCTCCAGACGTGTAAGATTCGCCCCGCGAACGGCCCCACATGCCCCCGGACTCGCTCGGGGATGGCCCCGAAGAGCCTCGAGCCCGCCCACCCAAAGAAACAAGACAACACAAGTACGCCCAGGACAGCAACATGACATCCCCAAGACGATCAAGGGGGCGGCGGATGTGGCGTAAGCCTATAGACATTGTCGATGATTTCTGTTGCAGTGCATTGGTAGCAGGACTCAGATCTTAGAGCAATTCCCTTGTGCCATGATGGATTTAGTTTCGGGCCTGGAGGCTAACCTCCTCAAGGTCAACTGGGACAAGATTGGCTATATGACTAGCGCCCCTGGTCTTGATGTCGATTTAAGGGCCAAGTGGGACCTTGCCTCGGACTCCAGGTTGTCGCATGGGCGCCGCCTGGGGACTCGCGCCAATAGTGGTGCGTCGCGGTCGGTGCAGGAACAAAACAAGCGTTTGGCCAAGGCTAAAAAGATCTCGGGCCGCGTAGTCCAACCGAGGCAAGCGGGGGCCAGTGTCGGCGCTATCATGAGGGGTCCCCGATGGCGACGGCGGCGTGGGGGTCTGCTGTCACTGGGCTCTCGGCGCGTGAATTCCATTCTCTGCGCGTCGCCGCCCTCCGAGCGGAGGGGCGGGTTCCCCCGGGGGCCTTCGCGGCTCTCAGGTTGAGAGCGACCCCTCGGCGTGCTCTCCGTGGTCCTTGGGTCGTTCACGCGGTGGAAGTTGCCGAGCACTGGGCGCTCTCGGTTGTCTCCTCGCTTCCTGGCCTCGGGCCTCTCGAGGCCTGTCTGGCGTCTGCTCCGAGCGTCCTGTTCAGGCCGCGGCCATGGGCTCAAGTACTTGATCCTGCTCAGGCTGCCCTGTTGTCTTTTGCTAAAGTTTGGGCCGCTCTGCCGAGCGCCGCTGCCCCCCCCCCCCCCCCCAGCTTATGCCATGAATCTTGCTAGAGAATCTGCCCAGGCTTCGTCGGATGCGGCGGCCCTTCGTCGGATGGGGGGCGCGTGGGCCCCCCCTCTCCACCGGGCGCCCGTCTCCTCTGCGTTGGCCCGGGGGCGCGCGGAAGGCTGGGCCGCGCAGACGCGCGCGGCCACCCCCTCTCTTGTCGGCGGCGGCCGCTGGCCCCAGGCCAGGCTGCGCTTTCACGGGAAGGCGCTCCGCGATCGTTGTGCGCATCGCGGTGCTCGAGGCCCTCTCTTCCATCGTTTCCACGATTGTCCTTCCTCGTTCACTGCCTGGCGGGGGTCGCGCCTGGCCCGCGCCGAGCAAGCGGCCCATTTTGCGACGGTGTTCAATGAGTACCGCTGTGAACTTTTTGCCCGTTGCCCGCGGCCCTCGCCGCGCAACGTTTTCCCTGGGGGCGAAGCTCCCGAAGAAGATTGGTTGAGGTTTGTTCGGGCGTCCCCTGGGTGGCGTTTCTCTGACCAGATATTCGCTGATGGGGGCGCTTTTAACACTGCCCGCGAGGGCCTTTCGCGAGCTGGCTGGGCCGTCGTGCAGGTCGATAGGGCCGGCCAGCTTGCTGCCGCCATGCGCGGCGTTGCGCCCCCATCTTTTGCCCCGTCGCAGGTCGCTCGTACTGGCGAAGGCCATGCATTTTATATGCTCGGCAAGTTCTCAGAGTGGAAGGGCGAGTCGCCGCTCGAAATCACTCATGACTGCTCCGGCGCGGTCGCCTGCGCGCAGAATGCCGGCGAGGCCTTGTCGCAGGATAACCCTCGGAGGCACCTCTGGGTCGATCGGCGGGCTGGCGCGGGCAGGATTGCCTCTGCTTCTAAAGTTAAGGTCCATGCCTCAGAGTCAGCTGCCCGCGCAGACCATGATGTCTGGATTGTCCGCGGCAGCCGCGTGGCAGACGAGCGCGCCAAGAAGGGGGCCGAGCTCTGGGGGCCCCCTGAGCAGCGGCCATCGTTCGTCTCCGGTTGCAAAAGAATTGCTCGCGATTGCACCTGGCGCGGTAGAGCGCAAGCCGCCGTCGGCCCCCTCGAGCAGCCGGGCCCCCGCGGAGTTGCTGGAACTGGAGACATCGAGTCCGAGGGTGATTTTTCGCAAGGCGCTCCTTGATGCTTGCCAGGATGATGAGGGGGGTGAGCCTTTGGCGAGGGGTCCGAAAGCCGCATGGGCCCCTGCCTCTCCTTCCGCGCCCCCCCCGCCTCCGCCTCTCCCTGCCCCCAGGGCCCCCCATCCAGGTTGCTGGGGCCCCCCTGGGCGGTTGGAGACCACTCCGTCGTCCAGGCCACGGTCCAGGCTGAAGATGGCTAAGCTCTCGATGATATACTACGTTGTAAGTGTCGTGGGGCCTCCGCGCATCAGAAGGCGCGGGGGGGCCTTCAAGCAAATTGCAAGGGGTCGTCCCACTCGGGGTACAAGACCCAGAGGTCTCGCTTGAGGCGCGGTTTGTTCCCAAGTCATAACCTGGAGAAGGCCACTGTGGGCGCTCCGTTTGGGCCGTCAGATGAGACGAAGGCTCTTTTGGGTCCTTCGCTTGGCTGTGAGCCTGCCGGGGGCGGTGCTGGTGGGGGCGCGGGTTCTAACAGCTTTACTGTGGAGGCCCCTGCTGCGGCCGCGGATGTTCATCTCCCGACGTCTGCGATCGCTGAGCCCCCCACCTTGTCACCCCAACAGATTGCTGCACTGCGCGGTTTTACTGCCCCCGAGGCGCTTGTCGCTTGGGAGAATGACCAGCGCCGCAGGGAGGACGACGCGGCAGATTGGGATGAGGAGGATGGCACGGGCTACAGACGCTCCCCGAAGCTCCCAGACGCCCCCAAACGCCC